CAAAAAAAAAAAAAAAGAAAAGATAGCCTCTTCAGTTGTGGGCTGCATTCTAAGGCCCTGAGAGCCTTAGCAGAGTCCAGGCTTGGAGAGCTTCTCAGCCCTCTTCAATTCTCAGAGAGGAAGAATCTAGCTGTGTTTTCCCCTGCTCAGAACTTAGCAAAATGAACAGTGAATGTTAGAGAAATGGGCTTCCTGGTGCAGTTAGAGCTCTGTTCTTATTTCTTTCCTGTAGCCAGATCACTAAGTCTCATTGGTGACGACCAAGGTGCAAATGAGTGGTTGGAAGGTTTATCAGGGCCTCTTTGCAGGTCTGTCAGGGCGGGCTCAGTGTGACTGTGCTGTATGCCAGGAAGGGCTTCTGCAAGGAAAGGCAAGAGGGCTGTGGTCTGCTGAAAAGGCAGCTTAGGTTTCATGCCGCAGAAACAAAAGTGCAAGGCCCTGATGCAACCAATGATTTGTCACTTTACCAAGGAGCCTATCAGAAATCAGCTGACATCATCACAGCTAAAATACTCCACCAGCTGTGTTTGCCACAAGTGACAGGTTCAGAGTCAGTTGGGGGGGTGGGGTGCGACTCATGTCTGGATTTAATTGAGGTCCCGAGGCCTGTATCCTTCTCCCCATCGTCAGTGCCTCCCTGAGAAGTTTCCTTCCCTGGCCTGAAGAATCATCCAGTCTTCTCAACTGATTTAGCTATCACTAACACTTGCACCCACCGGGAAACTGAGAAATGTGCAAATTGTTGAACTTAATTAGCAATATCACAAGTTTGGGGAAGTTGTGGAAGAAGATGGTTTTCTACAACAGCAGTCCCCAACCTTTTTGACTGGTCTTGTAGAAAACAATTTTTCCACAGACCGGGGTCGGGGGACGGGGGTGGTTTGGAGATGATTCAAGTGCGTAACATTTATTGTGCACTTTATTTCTATTATTACTACATTGTGATATATAATGAAATAATTACACAACTCACCATAAAAAGAAGAGGCGCAGACAGAAGTGGTGAATAAAATAATGGGCGGGCTACTCGCAGACTAAAATAAATGTTGGATTCTGACTTAAAACCTGCCACCAGATGCAGCTGTACAATTGAAGTACATCAACTCACTTGCCACTCACTGAATGGGTTTAGGTATGAGTCTGCAAGCAGTTGATTTATTATGGTCTCTGTGCAGTCAAACCTCACTCCTGATGTTAATGTGTATTTTCAGACGCTCCCCAGCACTAGCATCACTGCCTCCGCTCCACGTCAGATCATCAGGTATTAGATTTTCATAAGGAGTGCACAACATAGATCCCTCACATGCACAATAGGGTTTGTGCTTTTATGAGAATCTAATGCCACCGTTGATCTGATGGCAGGCAGAGCTCAGGCAGTAATCGAGTGATAGGGAGCAGCTCTAAAAACAAATGAAGTTTTGTTCACTCACCCACCACTCAACTCCTGCTGTGTGACCCGGTTCCTAACAGGCCACGGAACAGTACCGGTCTGTGGCCCTGAGGGTTGGGGACCCCCGTTCTACAAGATAGATGCCTTTGTGACCCTAGGCACAAATCCTGCATGAATAGTGAATCATGAGTATGCTTGATCTCCCAAGGTCGTTCTCAGGGAAAGCAGCATGGCATGGTGTGGTGTGGTGTGGTATGGTGTGGTGGTGAGAGGGCCCAGGTTCCAGCTTCGGATGTGTGGCCGGACAAGTCATTTCACCTCTCTGAGCTGCATTCGGTCATCTCCGCAACAGGCAAAGGGTTCTTTACACAAGATAATCTCTTGGGCCTCCTCAGCTTTTTAATCCTTTACTCTTCTACTTCCCAGGACAGCTCTGGTAAAATTTATTGGCATCAACTTGCCAGAAACCAAGGAGGGCACTAAGAGGAAACTTGACTGACCTCGTGCTAAGCAACCCACAGACCTAGTAGGAACAAAAGCCATCCCATATAAAACGGAGGGGTTTGCAGTTTGGGGGTTATTTTTAAGAAGCTGAATTCCTCACGATTATTGTGGAAAGGTGCCTCCAGTGTTGTCCCGGCTGACGCTCCAGGCGAGGCAGTGTAGGAGAAAAATGCTTTCCCGTATCAGCCCCATCCTTGTGACTTTGCCATGCCCAGTACAGTATTTCTCAACACAGGAAAAGAAAGCATCTTTCCACCCTCAGACCCCCACCTTGGTGCTGTGGGAACAGTAAAGGGGAATTGCAGGTTTTGTCTGTTATCACCGTGTGCAGCCCTCCTTCCTCTTCAGGGGAAGGTCAGCCAGTACCTTACACCCCGAGTGGGAGAGTCGCTGCTCTGCCATGCCTTGATTCTGGTCGAGAGCCCCAAAGGACAACGGAATCGCTTTCCTTGGGCCTCACTCCCAAATAGAATCCACTTAATCTTCTCCAAGTTTGAGGACGTACGTCTTCGTCGAGTCCCAGATGGGACCCCTGGCAGTAGCATCAACATGGGAGCCAACACGACTCAAAGGAAGGATGGAGCTTTACACTCTGTCCTTGGGTAGGAAGAAGGTTAGCTGCTGGGAAAATGTGAGACCTGGTACCAAAAAAGATAGAAGTCTGCGTTTATACTGCACCAACCAGTGGCACTGGGACCTTGTGCAATGTTAGTTTTCCCTTCCCTGCTTCAACTTAGGTGACGTTGG